GGATGGATGAAAAATAAAAATGACTATTTTTTTTTGTTGGCTAAGATTAGAGGTGACAATAGAGTCGAGTCGTGTCATGTCAGATTCGTGTTGAATCATTACATAAATATAACATTATTGATCCCCAAATGACAAATTCAAGTGGGGACATAGGACAAGACAACATAAAAATAACAAATATTCAATCCACATCTCCTTTAATATATATATTTTTTTAATAGATCATTAATTACATATTTAAGTGCGACCTAGCACGAAAGATTTTCTTCAATAGTTTGAGATAGATCTACAATAATCATAGGGTCAGAAAAAGGGAGTCAGGTGAATATCCCGACTTATCCTCTTTGAAGTTTAAGTCAGTATAAGATTGGAGGCTTGAGCTCAATATATCATGTATCGTGGTTTTAAATTGCATACCTTTGTTAATTTTTCTGTGAAATATTTATACCTAAAATAGTAATGAGTGCAAAGACTTCAGGTCTCATCTGGACATTCAATGTCTGACACCTTTACCCACAAAGATTTGAATTTTCTCTACTCAGATCTTCACATATTCAATGCTAAGATGATAGGACAAGTGCTCGGGAATACGCCGAGCACACATGGCTATCCCCGAGTACTCAAGTGTTTATGATCGGTGTCTGCCACCTACTAGTGTGTTCAACGCTCGAGGAAACAGTACCTCAGGGGTACACCGAGGAGATATACTCGGCGCAGTAGTCATTAATATCTAGCCATCATGACCGCAGACCTAGGCTCTGAGGGCGCAGAGACTCATTAATGGTACTGTCTCCATTACTCGCATCGCCATAAATAAATGGTCAAATCGCATTAAATGCGGGTGTCAGCTTGTATATTTGGCTTTTCCGAGTTGTCATCTCTCAGCTCAGCTCCTTGGCATCTTTTGGACTCCATAACGGATATAATTTTACACGTGTCGATCTGGGGGTTGCTGAACCACCTAGAGTCCCACCAACCTATTATATATAAATGGATCTCTCATTAATTAATAATAAATGATTTGACAAAAAAAGAATTTAAAAGAGAAATTTTATTAAAGAAAATCTCACTCCATTAAAATAATTTTGATAGGTTGGGCCATATCTAAATGGGGACAGATTATTCGATGCAACGATGATTTTATATCATTATTATCGCATAATGTAACTATCATGCTACACAATTTAAATAAAATTTAAAAAATTATAATGTAACTACATATCATTCTTATGAATGAGTGGGTCATATTAATTTTTTTTTAGTGAAACTCAGTGATCAAACACTTATTTAAAATATAATATATATTTAAGTAATATTTTTTTAATTTTATTTGAATTATATATAAATATATAATGGACCTAGTGTGAAGCAATCCATCCGGGAAATATGACCGTTAGAAAGCAGAAGAAAGGGAGGAGGCGCCGTGGCACCAAACTCAAATTACTCGTTGACTGACGATTTGGCTGTTAGTCTCACGTTTCTTTCCATGCATTTTATGACCGGCCATAGCCAGTTTTACTAAAATAAAATTTGTGAATTTTTGGTAATGTTATTTCTATTTAATTTGTTGGTAGATTTAATTTATGGACAGAATAAACAGTGTCATTGAATTGGCCCCGAGTTTCAATATTAATTGAGATTCATTATTAATTAATTATGATGTATTAAATTAATAACTTAAATTTAATTAATATTTTTAAGCTTATGCAACCTTATCCAAATTTTGATTTGATTGTTTTGGATGAAATTCAGCTGAAATATTACACTCGATCTTATATTATCAGTTAAGAAATTGTTCTTATATAAAATATCGACTCAAAAGATAAATATCATAATTCTTACCCGTCAACTAGAATAAACACCCCTAAAAATGGTCATGATTTATTGTTAAAAATATCATTTTATGCCTATAAATAGATTTAATTTATTCCTTAAATGAAGAAGGAGGGGAGCCTCTATATGAGTGGTAAAATTTGATTTTCAATCATGTATAAAATAAACATATCCTCGATAATAATAAGGATAAATTTAAATTCTCTTTATTGAATTATTCCATAAGAGAAGTGTTAGAAAAATCAAAATGTATACTAAAAAAGAAAAAAATAGAAAAGGCCCAAAATTAAAATGGGTTTGGATTTTAGTTCGACTCCTCCAAGAATTTGTAGCTAAAAGTGGAGCTTATACATGTTATTTATGTAATTTAATAAATTATAAAATTGGACTTTTGAAAAAACCTTAGCCAGATGGGTCTAAGGATGAAAAATTCTTATTATGGGAAAAAGATTCTATGGAAACCAGTTTAAGCCGTTACCGGTCACAGAACGCACATTATGCCGCACACTGCCATATTTTCTCAGCAAGGTAGGCTGAAGCGCACTCTGGAATGCAGAGCCGTCTCTCTCTCTAGAGCCATATACATTGACCATGTGAAAGGCCCTTAAAACCTGACTACACTGGCCGTTGAGTTTGTAGTTAATCGCAAACACTACTTTCCTGAGACATGGCGTCGTTTGGGGGGTCCCTTTTGATCCACATTGCTATACTCTTTCGCATTGTTTTGCTCTTTAGTCTCAAGAACCTCTCATTGGCCGACGACCCATCTGCCAACTTCGACTTAGAGCTCTCTTACATCACTGCTTCTCCTCTTGGTGTTCCCCAACAGGTCCCTTCTCTCTCTCTCTTTCTCTCTCTCTCTCTCTCCTATGTGTGTGTATGTGTTTGTGAGAGTACATTTTCGCAAGTGGGTTTGTTTTGCTTTTGCTTTTACTTTTGCTTTTTTCACAATGATTGTAATAGTTTCTTAGTTTTTAGCTCTGGATCTACCAAATTAGTAATTATGGCCTACTTTTTACATGTGGGTTTTTTGTATTTGCGGCTTGTTCGTTTTCGGAACTAATTTTTGTTGACTTTGTGAAAGCAATTTGAGTTTAGAAAGTGGGGTTTCGTTATTTGTGGACGACATTAAGGTCTCAAACATACTTTAATAGATGACTGTATATTTGGAGTTATAGTCTGTGGATGGTTATCGACTTATTAGTTTGTTTACTTTGTATTTTGTTTTATTTTATTTTTTGGTCAGGTACTTTCTATGGTATTCTGAAATTGGGGCTAGGGTATTGGTGAAATGGATTAGGTTACACCATCAGCCATAAATTTCTCTCGTTTTATATTTTTTCTTAATGTTACTGACAGTAGTTTTTGTTTGATAGTACTCTTGGAAAAGAAAAATTTATGGCTGATGGTGTAGACAAAGGTGAATTAAAGAGTGGGTTGACCGCTGAGAGGGAGCACATATGTCATTATTAATGATTTTTCTACTTGTGGATTTTGTGGGTTTTTTTTTTTTTTTGTAGTTTTATTGCAGTAAGTTGTGGTCCTGTGGCTAGTGTCGTAAATGAGGTTGAATAAGAAAGTGTCTATTTGTGTGTTGGTGACGTAGGTTGGGTTTCCATTTGTGGATGATTCTCTTTCTTTGTTTATTTTGCAGTTCCTTTTTATTTCTCTTTTTTTTTTTTGAATAAATGTGTCATTTCTTTATGAGTTTATGTCTTTAATCTTTGTTAATATTGTGAATGGTGTTAAATCAGACGAGTTCGTTTGAGTATTGTTGTAGTTGAGTTGGTTTTTGAAGTTCAATTTGAGATGATTGTGCTTCCTGATTTTCATTCGATAATACATACGTCGCCATCCATAATACATAGTACCATGCTAATAATAGTTATACTAAATTTTATATCCTTATTGCAGGTCATAGCAGTTAATGGGCAGTTTCCAGGACCTACTATTAATGTTACTACTAATGACAATGTCGTGGTAAATGTGAAAAACAAATTGGACGAAAATCTACTCATCACTTGGTTTGTTTCAAACTCTCAATGTCTCATTTACTTACCTGCGAATTATATATATTTTTTTCTACTTCTTGTCGTTTTCAAGAGTGGTGTTTGAGGGATTTGGAATTTTTTTGGGACAGGCCCGGAATCCAAATGCGTCGCGCTTCTTGGCAAGATGGTGTGCTTGGCACGAATTGTCCAATCCCTCCAAATTGGAATTGGACGTATCAGTTTCAGGTTAAGGATCAGATTGGTAGCTTCTTTTACTTTCCATCACTGAACTTTCAGAGAGCAGCTGGTGGCTTTGGTTCTTTCATCATCACAAATCGTGACATCATCCCGCTGCCCTTCAACATGCCTGATGGGGATATAGTCATCATAATTGGTGACTGGTATACTCGAAACCATATGGTTAGTGGATGTTATGTTTGGAATGTTGAATGCGGTTTTATTTTTTGCGTGTAACATGTAGTGCACGTTTTCAATTAAATTTTAGGCACTGAGGACGTCCCTCGATGCTGGACAAGACCTTGGTATGCCAGATGGAGTTCTCATTAATGGGAAGGGTCCTTACAGATACAACACGACGCTCGTCTCAGATGGCATTGATTATGAAACAATTAATGTTGATCCAGGTATTGTATCTAAGACACTGATAATTGAGTCATTATTGCATTTGATCTGTTTCTACTTCCTTCCCTGTGGTATTCTTGGAAAACTTAAAAGTTAATTTTCAAGCCTTAAATGATGACCTGACTGCTGCTCTTCATTTTTTCATTTTGGTTGATTTGTTCGTGATTTCTTTTCAGTAAACTCGCGGTGCTTAATTCTTTTGCAGTTTGGATATGAACAATTTCACTTTTATGTTGTTTTGATATGCCCCGTGAGAAATTTATTGTACCCATAATCCATCCAACTGATGCTGACCATTTAAACAATGAAAGTGTTTTGCACCCATTCAAGCGGATTAGCTTGTTGCTGTGCCAATAACTTTTACAGATGTGAACTGTTTATACGCTGAAAGTGATAAGGGTTCCTGTGTTAGTGGATTTCTTCCCCTTGAACAGTCCTGAATTTTTTAAGTTGTCTTGGCTGCTGTAATGTACTGCAGGGAAAACTTACCGAATTCGCGTGCACAATGTTGGAGTCTCAACTTGTTTGAACTTCCGAATTCAGAACCATAATTTGCTCCTGGCTGAAACAGAGGGGTTTTACACATCGCAACAAAATTATACGAGCTTAGATATCCATGTTGGGCAGTCTTACTCTTTTCTGGTTACCATGGATCAGAATGCAAGTAGTGATTACTATATTGTAGCAAGTCCTAGGTTTGTCAACCAAACATTGTGGCAACAAGTAACTGGTGTTGCTATCTTGCACTATTCCAATTCCCAAGGAAAGGCATCTGGCCCTCTCCCTGACTCTCCAAATGATGTTTATGACACATCATTTGCATTGAACCAAGCAATGTCCATCAGGTTTGTTCCCACGTTCCTTTGAAGTCTGTTAATGTGTTGATTGTAATCAACTTTTAGATGTATTGTTACAAAGGTAGTTTCTATGTATCCCAACCATAGATCTTGGCAGTGCATCAAAGTTTTTTCTTTTCCCTTTTTTTTTAAGTTTGATGACAAAATTGCTAATTAATTTAATTAGATTGTAATCCAAGGGTTTCCTAGTATGAAATCTAAGGGGTCCTTAGAGTTTATATTTGTAACTACAAATACTTTCCAATTTCTTTCAAAAAGAAGAGAGATGAACATGTCTAAAAATTGAAATATAACAATTTATTGGACAAAAGGCAGACCTTGTCAGAGAGAGAGGTATTGGAATGGCAGTTAAATGATGAGAAGTGAATGTTAGATTGGCGGCTAATAGTTGTTTCCTAATCTCTCCTAGGAGAGGGGAATTCACTATAAAGAAAAATGGCCTAGAGAAGAAGTACTGCATTTTTCTCTCATAAAAAAACAACAAAAATCACAAGACATGCGATGCTCTGGCCTCTTGGATAACCTTGTAGTCAATATTTGCGTATTCTTTTTCAGAAGTTTAGAATTGTCGACTTAGTTATAACTTATGACTTCCCACTGTTATTTAATGATGAAATCCGAATTTCTTGCTCAATACTAGAATGCTGCCACTTTCAAATTTCCCTGCATCTTTTCTTTCTCCTCTTGACATTCTTCCTTTAGATTCTTATCATAATTAGTTATGATATGTTTTGATCAATGTGTTCCCCATATTCAATCTGATCAGGCAAAATACGACAGCAGCTGGAGCTCGTCCCAACCCACAGGGTTCTTTTCATTATGGTTCAATCAATGTGACTGATGTTTATGTGTTAAAGAGTGTTCCACCCCAGATTATTGATGGGAAACTCCGAGCTACATTTAACGGGATTTCGTTTGTTAACCCTGATACTCCACTTAGGCTTGCAGATTTATTTAACGTGAAGGGTGCTTACAAGCTTGACTTCCCAGACATGCCAATGAACAGAACACCCCTGGTGGACAGATCCATTATTAACGCAACGTACAAGGGATTTATAGAAGTCATATTGCAAAACAACGACAGTGTAGTTCAGAGCTTCCACATGGATGGTTATTCGTTTTTTGTGGTTGGGTATTGTTCTTATGTCAAGTATCATGTGCAATTAAATGTCAATTGCGGTTTTTGCTTTTTGATATAGTGATTATTATGTTGCAGGCTAGGTAATGGAGAATGGACAGAAAACAGTAGGGGTTCATATAATAAGTGGGATGCAATATCTCGCTGCACTACGCAGGTTTGTTCCTAGGGAGCTTCTTTATATATTTCTCGTGATTAGCCTTCGAAGGACAAGGAAAACTTAGGCTTGTGTCTTCTGCATAAAAGGATTGTTGGAGTTTAGAATGTTTATTATGATCTTACGACTGACTGATTTATTTGCTTTCTGGCTTACATAACATGTTCTGGAATTATGCTTCCCGGGTGTCAGATGTAGACCTTATACAGCCAATCTTGTGTCTGTTATTGACGATTGTTTCTTTTGTAAGGATCAAACATGAAATGCACATTTTATCTTTCAATGATTTACTCTTTTTTCTTGTGTCAAGGTTTTCTCTGGCGGATGGACAGCAGTCATGGTCTCTCTCGACAACGTTGGAGTGTGGAATCTTAGAGCAGAAAACCTCGACAGATGGTATCTAGGCCAAGAAACATACATGCGAATTGTCAATCCTCGCGATACTGATAACAAAACAGAATTGCCTGTCCCTAATAATGCTCTTTTCTGTGGTGCCCTTGCCAACTTGCAGAAGTAAAACAACTCTCTCTCTCTCTCTCTCTCTCTCTCACACACACACACACACACACACGCACATTTATTTACCTGTCCCTTGACATTTGGTTTGTATTTCAGGCCCCAGAAAATTTCTTCTTCATCAGCATCAGCCATGGCTGGATATATAAAGCTGTATTGTACACTGCTGATGATATTCTGTGTTGCTATTTCCAATTTAAGATGAGCCTTATCGTCAAATGATGAGAAGAATTGCAATCTTTTGCAGTGGTCGCGGGTTTTGGCTTTCGTGGTAGATATCTGGTCAGATTTGCTGGAGTTGCATGTTACATTGTTTTATCATTTTAGTTGCAGAATTGATCACTAGAGCAGACTCTATTTAGTACAAGTTTGGCAGGTATTTGCTGACAGTAGGTGATTTTGAGTCCTCCATTCCATCATTCTTTATGTATCAAAACTACGACTCATGCTGATTAACCCAGTTTTAATACCATTTTAATTAGACCCAACTTTTATGATTGACTATCTTCTCTGGTGGATCGGATCCACATTTTTATAATGGGTTTCACTTTATTTCATGTTTGCTGATTTACTATCGTCAAAGATTGAAAAAACTAATGAATTAGGCAGGATGTCCTTGTGCCGAATAACAAACAACGGGCCAATCTTTATAAATTTCATCGAAGTGAAATGAAATATACAAAACACAAATTAACGAATAATGAAACAAGATTACAGTCCTGCTGTGAATGGCACGCCTGTGGCTGGCAACCAAGCCCCACCGGCGATAAAACTGGCAACCGTGAACTGTGACGCTGTCTTCGTGCTCGTTATAACATGATAGCCACGCCACTTCACTCTGTATTGGGTCGAAGACCCCGGCCCAAAGTTCATGTATTCTCCATAGTACAAAGTGTCGAAAGCGAAATTGGTATTTTCCCATGGCAACCAACCTGCTGAATTCACTATACCATCAAAATAAGTTTTAAGATAAACTGTCCTAGAGTATTGCATCCAGGGACGTCCCAAGTATGTGTTGTACAAATGAGCCACCGGCAATAAGTCCGGTGCCGGACTGACTAGGGAATTATGGATCGAAATTCCTGTGTTTTGAAATGGATCAACCCGACCTTGGGCTGTAATTACATTCACTTGGCCCCATAGAGGCTTTCTTACCAAAATGAAACAGTTTTGAAAAATCACAGCTGCGTTACCGAAAATAAAATCTATAGTACCATAGATGTAACATGATTTGTAGAATTGTCGTTGAGCAAGGACGAAGAGTGTGTCTTGATATCCTTCGAAACCACAAGAATAAAAGACTGAGAGATCTGACGCTGATCGGAGTGCAACTGCTTGAGAATTTTGTGGGCCGGCGGTGTTCCGAAAGGTAATGCCACGGGCAATGAATGCAATGCCATCGACCCCTAAGCAACATATAATTAAACAACTTTAGTTACTTAAACTTGTGGATGGGTCGAAGGTGGTATGCCTCGGCATATGGCCCATGGTATTTGGATTGGGTCGATAATCTAGTGGCCCATGGACCTAGTCCGTCACTTGGTGAACCTTTGAGCAATCCGATAAGCCCATGGGCAGGGTTGCGGGCTGTAATTTTCGGCCTGCCACATGTATCGGGCTCATACACCGACGAGGTTTGATAAAACAAATAAAAAATATATGAAATTAAACTTTTTTTTATCACATTACTTAAATAAATCACATGGCCCGTTGCCTGTGGGTCGGGTCGGAATATGCCCCGGCCCATTGTCGAGACATAATTTGGGGGCTGAAGCTTAACCATGAAACTACATTTGCTTCTAAAAAAAATTTGTATATTATTTATTAAAAATATAAAAATAATTGTTAAGTAGTTGACTTTGCTCCTTAAGTTCTGGTCCTCCAGCAGTTTTTGATCCTAAACTTTGTTTATACGCAAATTTACGTAAATACTTCAATCAAACCCACGTAGTTCATTAAATGGTTGCACATGAAAAACAGTTGTGGCAATAACACCAACACATTACAATTTGATAATAAAATCATAGAGCAAATCATACTTCAACGCACAGATCTATGTCTCTCATTACATGTTGCTTCTCCAAGCATTTTTCTTTTTTTTTACGAAGTGTGTAAGCTTACATTAATTACTCTCTCGAATTCATTGGCTGATCACCGTGAGTTGAGTTAAATTAGAATATGTCCTTTAAGGATAATAGTGACTAAATCTTAAAAAGTGTGAAAAAAATTAAACTTAAAACTCCTGAATTAGTCACGGTTGTGCTCAACTAATGAACCAAGTTGTTGGTCTAGGTTTAATTTGTTCTAAAATCACATTAGAGCCAGAGAGAGAGAGAGATCACTCACCAACAGTTGCACAGCTATAGGTTGTGTATCCTCCGGCGACACTCCGGCTGCCGGTGATTATGGTATATCTCAAGCCATCACCAACCAGC